CACCCAGATCCACCACTGCTGCTGCATGATGGCTGCATGTTCAGATTCATGGTATTTTTTCAAATGCTACAGACATAATGATTACATGTTTATTTTTTGTAGTCTATACTTACTATCATTAAATTTGTAGTATTTCCAGATGTTTTTACTTTCTCTCCACACAAGTTACACTGGGCAGTCTTATCGTCTCATGTTGTTGTTGTGTAGTGTACCCATGCTAAACTTCTCTTTTTACCTGACCTCCAACTCGAATTTGATGCCAAGTTCAATGACAGGGTACTTCAAGGGGTACTTGATGCACCATCTGCTAGCTCTAGTCTCATCAGATGAATTGCTGGGCTCTGAACTGAGTTCTTGACTGGAAAATGATAAATCCATAGCTTGTTTATGAGTAGCAAGAGTAGCTAAATTAATTTTAATCTTATCTAGCTGTTAGTATAAGACTAAGACTTCACAATTAACTGCAGCTGTTGTATAGACCACAATGATTTTGTACAACGTCTAGTAGTATTGTAGTAATGTAATCTATGACTCGCGCAGTGCAGTGCTATGAATAATTCATTTTAATAAAAATGGTTAGTTAACTTTAATAATAATTGTTAGTGGGTGTAGTTATGATGAAATAGTTTGTTAACTTTAATATAAATGGTTTATTAACTGTAGTAAGTGGGTGTGGTTATTATATCGAACACATAATCTTCAAAAATTTACTATCAATATGTATTGATATTCAGATATATCGATAAAATATCGATCACTTCGATATATCACCAAGCCCTACTATTTTCTAAGGTAGATGCCTGCCAAAAAATCAATGAGTTAATGTTAGAAAGTCTAGAAACTGAGACAATAGAATTAGCATGTGTTGATGTTGTTGATGATAGTGGCAGCACAGCAAAGCACAGCAAAATTTGAGAAAAACACAAAAAAAATTAGAAATCTAAAAGATCAATCAAGCAAAACAGCTGGTTTAGAAACTGATATTGTCTTTAGCAGTAGGCTGTAGAGTAATGCTAAGACGTAATATTGATGTGACTGTAGGATTAGTTAATGGTACCATTGGTACAGTAATGGGTATTTATGCTAGACGTATATCAATAAAATTTGATCATACTGATGTACCTTGTGATATAGAAAGGTTTACATCTAGATTTATGCTATGTAAGAATTTGTATACATAGGAAACAGTTTCCCCTTATACTTTCTTTTGCTATTACTATTTATAAATGTCAGGGCCTCTCACAAGATACAGCCATTGTTGATTTATTGACTAATGTTTTGGGGATAGTATGGCATATGTAGCGTACATTAAACAGATTACATTTACTATCATTTGATCCTCTCAGTTAAAGTTAGTAATCTGTGCATAATGAAATTAACAGGCTGAGAGGTAAATTTTGAAAAGACTTACCTCAAATCAAGAAAAATAAAGGAAAGAAGAGAAAGATTCAAGTGACTTGTATAATTAATGATGGTGAACCTTGTAGTAAGAATGCCAAGGTGTCTGTATGTCATGTACAAAGTACTAGTAATAGTACCATTAGTAGCAAATAACGTAAGAGTACTAATTTACAAAAGTCTAATTGCCCCAAAAAGAGTAAAATATGTGACAATAATGCTTTTAGTGAGCCTTGCTTCTAAAAAAGAAAAGTTGATATAGACAGTAGTACTGACAATACTGCTTTGGTATTGCCTTGCGCAATAAAAGATGATAAATTAATTGTTTCAATTAATTTGAAAGACCTAATAACCAAATTTAATGTGAAAGATGATGATAGTTGTAGTAGTCTCATTGTATCTATAAAACTGTGAAACATTAAATGTAAACCAAAATGATGATAAAACCAAGTGTGTTGTAAAAAATGACCATTGTAGTAGTAGTCTGATTGTATCTATAAAACTCTGAAGCATGGAATTAAAGACAAGTAATCCAAAGAAAGATGTCATCTTTACTTAAAAAGAGGCTCCCAACCCAGATATTGTGAGAAGGAGATAATAAAATTATGTTTATTACCCTGGTAATGAAGAATTTCAAAGAAGGTGGTGTGAGATTTTAAATCTCAAATATGTCACAGCTGCTAGAACCTTACCTGGTTGTCCAACAACACCATTGTCAGATGAAAGAGTTTCTAATAGTACTCTTGATGTCCCTGGTGATGGGAACTGTTTATTTAATGCCCTTTTATATCTCATTACTGGGTCATTATGAATTACGTGAAGCAATTGTTAGTAATATGCTAAACTGAAGAATTGTTAAATAGTACGTTATGTGCAACCAGATATTGAAGCATATATGATTACATAAATAAGTCCAAAATGTATATAAATTATGTGTGGGCTACTGAGGCAGAGATCATTACACTATCTGCAATATTAGGTAAAACCATATACTCATATTTACTTACTCGTACTTTTGTTGGCTGGGCTAGTTATGGCACCCAGTAGTTATATGGCATTCCTTGTGATACTAATACATCTGCTTTGTATTTGAAGCATGTTGGTATTAATCATTTCCAAGCTCTTAAGTCTATTAATACTTCTTAAGCATTGATTGTTAATGGAAAGTGGGTATGGTGTATGGGAGGTCCATCATCTTAAAAACATTGGTTGTCTAATGTGACTTATACTTCACTACATGTGCAATGTGAGTGATGTGTGAGTGTGTGTAAAGCATTGGTGCATATCCACCCAATTTTGCTCAGTATGAAGAGATCTAACTGCATTCAGGAAGTGAGATTAATCAAGGTATAACACAAATAACAGTGAATATTGTTTACTTGTTGCAATTATGGACAGGGTGATGGTGTGAATAAGGTTTACTGTTCATTAGAGTTTAGCATTGATTCAAATTTGTGACAATCATTGATGTAGGACAGAGGGTTAGGAAGGGAGAAAGCTGTCATTATCAATTCTGGATTTTGTTTGTGGCTTGCACTACATGTTTATTACAAATAACAGGTGCTTATGGATCTGGGTGCTGCTGAAATATTTTGAAATCCTAACAAGAATAATTTTGAGTAACATTAAAAGTTATTATACATGTAGCATTATTCAAGCAGTGATTCTGTACATAATTATAATAATAATTATCGTGCATGTTAATGCTGCCATCAATGCTGTGCGCATTACATATATGTAATTGCTTGCCAGCTGATGTTGCGCATAATGCTGCCATAAATGGTGTGTGCATTATTAAGTTAATTCTTGCCTGTTGATGTTGCACATTTGAATGATGCTGCCATCAAAGCTGTGCTCATATCTAATGCTTACCAGCTGATGTTGCGCATCTTTTATTGATGATTGTTGTGACATATGTGCATGCATGTTCTCATTAACAAAAAATATTGTTTGCACACTTCATCTACACAATGTTATTTTATATTAAGCAGGTCATGAAGGCATCTTAACTGAGGATAGCATTAGTAAGCAATATTATGTCTAAAATACATGCATGCACATACATGTATGATCCAATCAAAAATATTGTAGATGCTACCATTATCATTATTAGTTAATGTGTCACATTCATACTTTTTACAGGTACTTGCCTTGCACAAGGACTACAATGTGGTAGTAAGTAGTGAGGTTTGATCTGATTGGTAATAAAGGTTGTTTACCATTACTGTTTGTGCTATTGTTATTATTAGCCTGTGAGTTTATATTGATATGTTTCTGTTACTATGCTTTACAGGTTATTACAGCTGGAAATGATTTGCTGATTCAGCTGTACTTTTGCTAGATATTGGAATGCG